TACTTGGGATCTCATGTGGTTTTGCAGACAGATGGAGGCTAAAGCAGAGTTATCTTGAAGGCTTCTTCATTCACATGCTGACTGTTGATGCAGCCTGCCGGCTGGGACCTCCTCAGCTAGGGCCACCTTCCGTACCACCTACCCATGGCCTTTTCCATGTGACTTGACCTCCCTCACAGCATGGTGGCTGGGTTCCAAGAACAAGTGTCCCAAGAGAACCAGGTGGGAGCCGTATTGCCTTTTATGATCTAGCCTCAGCAGTCATATCACATCACTTCCATCATGGTCACAGGCCCATCCAGATTCAAGGGGTGGAAACATAAGCCCCAAACCTTGGTGGGAGGAGTGTCAGCATCACAGTCTAAGTGGGATGGCAGCTTCTGTGTGGTCATCTTGAAACATAAAATAGGCCACAGGTGGTAGCTGCTGGCAAAATAGGGGCTGCTGTATGTGTGAACATGGGTCATGGTTGGTGTTTGAGATCAGTAGAACTGGACCAGATTAAAGCTCCCATGGGGAAAAAAAAAATCTCCCTTAAAAGACCTATTTTTAAATGTGAGATTGCCTTAAATAAGGCTGTTTTTGAAATTGACACCCACTCCCTTCATTTTATGGACTTCTCTACAAAGGAGATAAGCAGAGAAATTCTGAACAACCTGTATAATGGTGTTTTTTACATCCTTTAAATGTAAATCGTATTACATATGTTGCAATTGAAATGCGAACAACCTCGTGAGTTTCATTGTAAGAGAGGTGAGAAGTCAGAAAAGCTCATTCATTTTTAATGATTTGTGATTCAGACAATCTCACTCATTTTTTGGTGATTTTCTTTCAGAAAAATCCTATTGTCGACTTCTCATTATTCTCCCCTCTTCTCCCACATCCATGTAGTCACAAAGCCCCGTCTTACTTTGCATATGTTAGTAATCTGCCAAAATACTCTTTTTGATTGTGTGGCTCACAGCTCAGTATTTTTAGTACCTTCCATTGTCTTCGGGGCCCCATCCAGACACCCATTCTCCATTCAGGGTTCTCCATGTGGAGCCTATTTATCGGGTCCAATCTTGACCATACAATTCCATATACCTGTGGTTCTTAACCCTTTTGGGGTTATAAACACCTTTGAAAATTTGGTGAAAGCTAAGGAGTCTTTCCCCAGAAAAATGCACACACACTCAAAATTTGCATACAGTTTCATAGGACTCATGGACCTCGTAAAACCCATCAGCGGACTCCATATTCTGCACCCCTGCCAGAATGAGACTGTATAGTACAGTGTTTCAGAATTCAAGCTCTAGAACCAGACTGCCCAGTGTAAGTCCAGGTTCCACCACTTTTACCAGCTGAGGAACTTCAGGAAGTCACCCCACCTCTGTTTCCTAATACATAGGATGAGGATGATAATATTTACCTCACAGGTGGTTATGAGGCTTACTTGAGATAATGGAGGTAAAATGCTTCAGGAGTGCCTGACGACATAGTGAAGTGCTCAGCAAATGTTAGCAGCAATTCCCTTTGTTATTGTTGCCATTGTTCTTGGACCTTCTCCAGCTGTCCTTTACACGTGCTTTTTAAAGAGGCTTTGCTGTTCAAGTTTTCTCCACGTGGACTATTTTTTCCATCCTTTCCCCCCATCTTTTTATCCACAGAAGGTCAACCCTTAAAACAGTTCCAGTGCCATTTCTTCCATGAGTTCGTCCTTATGCCCGCCCTCCCCCCCACCACCCCATGCATGAGCTATCTCTGTTTCACTTTCCTAGAGCCCTCGGTGTCTGTGCTGCCCATGTGGCCATGGCACACACATTGCATGTTGCTCAGGTCTCAGAACCACCTTCATCCATTTGGCAGTCCTAACTCCTCTCACACTAGGGCAAGGCCTCGTAGCAGATACAGAGGTCTACAAGGTAGAGCCCCTGTCTACCTACAAGGAGTGAGGAGTATAAATGGTCCAAGTGCTATGACAGTCCAGGCGATGAGGTTTCCATCTGACTAGGGTCCTCAGAGGAGTCTTCCTGGAAGATACGTTTGTGCTGGGTCTTGAAAACTAAGTAGAAGTTAAGTAGCTGGGGTGGGGTGGGTTGCCAGGGCTTTATCTTTTGACCCTCCCTAAGGTGTAAGCTCTCAAAAGGCCTTTGGCATTTTTGGTTACCCTCCAAAGAGCCTGTAAGAATACCACAAACGTGGGCTTTCTCAGCTTCTCTCTCCTGATGAACTTCATCATGACCCGCTCCCTACCTCGTAGCTTTATCTTAAATATAGTATCTCCAAAGCTGGCCCTTCCGCCGGGGTTCTGGGCATTATCCTCTTCTACCCTGTTCCCATACCTTCCTGCCTCATTTTCAATGTCTGTTATCTAGTCCATGAAGCCTAGAAACATCCTCAAATCTCTCCTTTCTTACAAAACAAAACAACAAAAACTATTCCTGAGCAACTCTCAAGGGGAAAAAGAAAGAGCATCTGGCTACCTCCGTCTTCTTTCCTTCCTCCCCTCTCACACACTCCACCTGCTGTTTGTGCTTCTGCTCCTGTCAGTTTACTGTACCGCAGCCTCCAGGCTTGCCACCAATGTCCCCGTTGACTCAATCCACATTCACTTTTCTGTTGTTCTCTTCCTTGACCTGCCGATTTCTTGTTCCCTTGTTTTCTTGACCTCTTGTTTTCTGACTTGACAGCACCCATCACTGTCGTCCACTCCCTTCTCCCTACAACTCTCATTTGCATGGCCCACTTTCTTCTGGCCTTCTGTGAGTCTCATCCATGATGCCTTTCTCCACCTGACCCGAAATGGTGGGGGTTTTCTTCTCCGTCTCCAGTGGTGATTTTGCCCATTTCCATGGCTTCCCCTGCTGCCTATGTGCTGGCATCCCCAACTCTTGTTTTTTTCTAGCCAAGATCTCTCTCCAGAACTCCAGGCCCAAAGAGCCAGCTCACCACTTCCATTCTGGATAACTCACAGCTGCCTCATACTCAACACGCCCCAAACGGCATACATCACGGTTTTCAATATGCTTCCTCCTTAATTTGCGGAATGGCATCACTGCCCCCCCACCATTACACCAACTTTAAATTATATTGATTTTACATCTTATAGATTTCTTGAGAATGTCTCTTCCTCCTCTACTGCTACTTCCTTCGGACCACAGATCCTCTTAGCACAACTGCCCCATAACTGACGTTTGTGCCTTTGTTCTAGACTGTGACTGTGATTGTGCTGCCAGAGTGATCTTTCTAGAATGGAAATGTAATTCCAGCACTCCTCCTCAAACTTTCTTCAGTGACTCCCCATCATCTACACCAGGGTTCCTCAGCTTCAGCCCTACCCACATTGCAGGCCAACTAATTCTTTATTGTGGGGACTTTCCTGTCGTTGTAGGGTGTTTACCGGCATCCCTGTCCTGTCACCCAGTTCTGATGACCTAAAATGTCTCCAGACATTGATATTTGTCCCCAGGCTTGGGGGAGAAGGAAAATGGCCCATTTGGAACCAGTTACCTCCAGGAAAAAACCCAGGAGACAGTGCCTTTTGTGACCTCTCCCTATCTGCCTCTCCAACCTCATTTGACTCCATATTGCCCCTGTGCTCCGGGTCTACCAGTTACCGGAAACCCTGGAGCTCCCACCTACCACTTTAGTTTGACTAACTTCCTCGGCCCTCAGATTTCAGCTTACAAGTCACCCCTCAGGAAACGGCCCTTAACTCCTCTGGTCTGGATCAGGGGCCAATCTTATATGCTCCTCTTGTGCCCTCCGTGTTCCTCTCCTTGTTCGTCATGCAGCGTGGCATCTATTCGTATGTCTTTCTTCCCAGCATCAGTGAGAGCTAGGTGGCTAGGACTGTGTTTTTTACCTCTGCGTCCTCAGCATGGTGGCTTACTCCTAGTAGGCACCCAATGGATGTCATCTGAATGAATGATTGCTGCTCAGGAAGGCGTTGTTGAATGAATAGTCCTCCTCTGAAACAGCTTCTTTCTCAGCTCTTTCACTTGCCACCATTCCATCCTGTTTACATAACTGAAGAAAGCCAGTGGGTCAGTAGGGCAAGAAACAGTCACCTCCCAGAGCAAGGATATTCAGGAAAAAAGTATGGCAATTCCATACAATCTGTGGCGCTTTGCTTTTGTGCAGCATAAATAGTTTTACGCTGTGGTTGGTGCTAGAAAGTCAAGAACGAGAAGTTGGACCAAAATGGGAAAATGGGAAGGAAATAGTACATTTTTCTGCTGCAGCATATGGATTTCTCATTAGTCTCTGTAAGGGAAAACCGGGGGCGGGAAGGGCTCGCTGACTGCAGCTGTCCACACTCTCCCCATCACCCCACTGCCACCACACCTGGTCCCCGGAGACACCCTCACTTCTTAGCTGTGTTGGCTTAGGTATGGACAAATCCCCTTGTTTCAGCAGAGACTTGCCTGGAATTTTTTCAGAAGAAGCTTTGCTAGGAAACTAGTGAGAAAAACAAAACAAAAGTAAAAACAGGAAATAGCATATAGAAATTATAAAATGACAGAGTGAAAAAGAAAGAAAGAAAAGAAAATGTCTTAGCTAAGATAACTCAATTCTGGGATTAGCTTTTCTTGACTTAATTTACCAGGCACATGTTTCCCTGTGTTTTTGTTGGCCTTTTCGGTTTTTTTTCTTGTTTTGCCATGATGTTGTCTTCCTCTGGGGAACTCATCCTAAAGTCCCCCTTTGCAGACTTTGACTATTTTCCTTCTCTCACTTAAGAACCTTCTCCATCTTTGTCTAAGAAGGAGCTGTAATTGGCATTAGAGGCACTTTCTCTTCTAGACAGCAGGTTACTGATCTGATGGAGAAACCTTTCTCTCAGGGTATAATAGCTCAGGGGTTCCAAGACACATCTAAGGACCACTGCTAAGCATCCGTGATGAAGGCTTTACTTGCCTGGGGTAAAATAAAATAAAAAAACAGGCAATGTCAGTGAGTTTTTAAATAATACTAAAGGAGTGACCTTTTTATTCGAATTTTTTTTTCTTTTTTAGGTATGAAAATATAATAGTAGGAATAGGAATAGTAAGGAATTCACTACGTGCTGTCATTACCTATGTTTTCAAGGGCAAGCGATACAGGTTTTAAAGTTTGATGTTTCCTTCTAAGAACCACCAGGTCGTTGCTGTAATACAATCCTCATTCTAGATATTCATTTATTATTGATTGAAGATCAATAAATGTACGTACTATGTACTAGGTCCTGGGTGAAGACCAGTTTGAGTAAGGTATTTCCCTGCCTTCAAGGAAACCCTAGACGAGAGAGGAAAGTCAGGGGGCGCCCCATGGTACAGGGTGTCCATAGGCTGGGAACCAGGGAGAAGAAAGTGCCTGATTCCACCCGGGACAGCTTGGAGAGGAAGTGAAGTTTTCCCCAAGGACAAGTTGAGCAAAGGCATTCTGGGTAGACCTCTGCTAAGACTGGCGACCTGCATGAATGTGGCGCTCTTGGGAACCTGTGAGTGAGTGGCAGAAGATGAAGCTGGAAAGGTATCACCCAGTTTTAATTTCACATTCCACATCTACCTGTGACCGAACATATGGTTTTCAGATTTGCAGGCCAGAAACAAACCTGAGCAAGAAAGCTGTGTTTTGTATGTCTTTATTCATTAGCCTTCCCTCATTTCATGGCTTTTGAAAATGCCACTGAAATGTAACATGAATAAATGTCTTGTGCTTAGATTCAGAGTTCACTACCAGAGGACAAGACAAGGGAGACCCGACACAGGTCTTTTTGCTGACCGGAAACTTACCCTGAGCCCATGATGTGCCCCAGCTGTCCCGAGAGCAGATGCCATCATAGTGACATCTGCAGAGGCTTAGAGTCCCGGCAAGCAGTGGGAAAGGCCTGCCAAACCGGGTCCTGGCCTGACAGCATCTGGGCACTGTGCTCAGTCTAGATCCACATGCCATTTTTTAGGGCAGATGTGGGTGAAATCTAGAGGATATCCAGAGGAGATGGCCTACAAACCATCATCCAAAGAGTCAAATTAAAAAGGACAGGAGAGCCGCCGTTAGTTCTTTTAACTGATTTCTTGAGGCAAAGTAGGGTGGCTTATTCTGAGTTGCGACAATGGACTGGATGGACATTACAGACCAATCTGGGCTCAATGTCAGGAATAATTTTTAAGAACTTTTATCCTAGTCCTTTTTTTACGTAGTGCTGTGAGATTATTTTGACAAAATATGGAAATGTTTTGATAGAAACAAGATAACCATCTTCACCTGTGGACATGCTGTTGGGAAGAGTCCTATTTTGAGAAGACAGTCTAGAGCGCCTTTCATCTTTAAATTTGATGGAATTTTAGCACTTGTTCTATTTTTTTAAATATCTGATTCTTTCCCCATTTTTGCCACCCTTATCCTTGCATTAACCCAATTAATTGTGAATTTTTTAAAAATTTTTTAGTATCTGACCAAAAGGATCCCACAAAACCCAAAGTATCAGCATGTCAAGTCAAGACTGGACACTGGTAAGTAACGATGAGAAAATGTAAACTTTTTTTTATTGAATCCAATAGCTAATTATTGACAAGAAGTCAATTATTGACAATTGTCACACGTGGTATGACAGTTTCTCACTGTCTTGTCTGATGTCTTTTTGGGCTCAGGACTTCTCTTCGAAAATTGTTTTGCAGACTACCAGTAAAAATTTTCATTTACATAATTTTGCTTATTAGAAATTGAGAAATTGATGAAAACATGGTTCAATAAGTTGTAGGGCTGAGGCTAATAAATATCAGGAGGTCAGCCTCTATTTTGCAACACCTTAAATAGATTATACGTGTGCACATTTGTTCAATTCAGCATTCGCAGAGAGCCAGCTACATGCAAAGCAGCGGCCCATGGGACATATAAAGATGAGTGTGAATCGTGATTTTTGCAATCAGTGTGCTTAGATTAAGGTGGAGGCAGACAGACTTGAATGAGTAACTGAAATTCCAGGCAAAATTAAATTAGTGCTGCAATTCAGGTAAAATGAAATTTAAGAGTGCATTACAGCTTATTTCCATGTTGTTAACATTTTTTCAGTGTTGTGATGAATACTACTCCCCAGGCGCCTCGTGGATTTGCAGGCTTGGGAGATTTGGGTTGTTGATTTGCTTAGTTTTTTTTTTTTTTCCAAACTTTCAAAGCCTGCCGTGAAAAATCTATCCTATTAAAATGGTTCCGCTGGCAGATTGGGGTGCTGCATGACTTTAGCAACACTGACTATTCCCACCAGTGGCCTTCGAGACAACTGAGAAAATACAGTGGGATGTTGTCTTTGTTTAAAATCTCATTCATTTTGTCTTCCTTCTTCTCCAGCCTCCTTCAAAATCATTATCTTCCACTATACATGTTTCCTCATATAAAAGACTTACATGTTTTAAATAAACCACATTTGCAGATACTATTTCGGGGGACCTTTCTTTCGAACATTTCCGTGCTGTACAGATATTTCCTTGCAAATATCCTGTTTGATGGGAGGTAAAAAAAAAAAATTAATCTGTTTTTGAGAAGGAGGAAATTGTGGCACAGAGATTGTGTGACTTACTTGAAGTTACGTACGGGAGCTAGAACTGGGATTTGTATACAGGATGAGGAAGTCGATGTTGGAGAGCTGGGACAGGTCCTGTGTCCTGTCCCTTAGGCCCTGCTGCCCCAGTATTTCCCCGGCCTCCTCTGCCACAGATGCCGTCAACTTCTCCATCTCTACCTGTCTGCCCGTAAATTGCAGCTGTGACCTGCCCTTCTGGAACAAGCTATTCTGTGAAAGAAGCACTGATTAAAAATGCCCTATTTTCTCTGAGGAGTCCAGATAACATTTTAAGACTACTATGAAGTCATGTATTTCTCTTGGAACCTTCTTAAAATTAAAAATTTTAAGAACTAAAGTTTTTTTCAAGTCTATAGGTTTCTCGATATCTTCATGGGTTTTTCTCCTGGAAGTTGAATTGGGAATTGTGAATGAACACCCATTTCTTTCTCGTTTAATGTCTCAGTTCATAAGCAAAGTTTGACTCAGTAGTGGTACCTAAAATTAATTTCAGGTTTTTTTACATTGAGATACTTATATCTGCTGTTTATAATATGTTGTAATTACCTATGTCATCTTATATTTGGAGATTTTTAAGCTAGCGTTTTTGCAAATTAAACTGTTTATTTTGAGGTAATTGTAGATTTATGTGGAATTGTAAGCAATAATTCAGAGAGATTCTGTGTACCCTTTACCCACCTTCCCATGGTCACATCTTGCAAGACTATACTGAAAAATCGCAACCATGATATTGGCATTGATAGATACAGCCTAGATACAGAACACTTCCATCAACACGAGGATCCTTCATGTTGCCTTTTTAAAGCCACATCCGCTTTCCACCCTCACCCCTTCCTTAAACCCTGGCAACCACTAATCTGTTCTCCAGTTCTGTAATTTCACAAACGCTATATATATAAAGGGAATCCTACAGGATGCATGATTTCTAGATTGGCTTTTTTCGCTCAGCATACTGGAGATCGTCCAGTTTGTTGGGTGTGTTAGTAGCTTTTTTGTTTATCCGTGGTGGTGGTGGTGGTGGTAGGTGGTGGTGGTGTTACTGAGTAGTATTCCATGGTATGCTGCAGTATAACCATTTGCCTGTTGAAGGACATCTGGATTGTTTTCATGTTTTGACTATTACAAATCAAGGTGCCATAAACATTTGTGTACAGATTTTTGTGTGTATACAAGTCTTCATTTCTCTGGGATAAATGCCTAATATTTGTTTCATATTGGGTGAATTGTGGTAGTTTGTGTTTTTTGAGGAATTAGTACAGTTCATCCAAGTTTTCAAATTTATGTGTATGGAGTTGTTGTTCGTGTTTTCTTATTACCCTTGTGATGCCTGTAGTGTCGGAAGTAATAGTCTGTTTCATTCCTGGTATTGGTAACTTGTGTCTTTTCCCTCTCTCTTTTTTTTTTTCCTTTACTGAAGGTTTGTCCATCTTATTGACCCTTTCAAAGAACCAGCTCTGAGTCTCATCAATTTTTCTCTATTGTTTTTCTGTTTTAAATGTCATTGCTTTTATCTTATTTCCTTCCTTCTGTTTGCTTTGGGGTTTTTTTTTTTTTGCTCCTCTGTTTCTAGATTCTTGAGGTAAGAGCTTAGATTATTGATTTAAGACTTTCCCTCTTTTTTTTTTTTGTAGCTGAGCCATCATGCCACCTGTTGGCAGCTCAGCTCGGGCCAGGAATCGAACTGCTGGTTGCTCAGAGCTCAAACTCTTGAGCGAGCACTTAACCAACTGAGCCACTCAGCCAGCCTGACTTTCCCTCTTTTTAACGCATGTAGTTAGTGCCATAAATTTCTCTTAACACTGCTTAAGCTGAATCCCACAAATTTTGATAGGTTGTATTTTCATTTTCATTCAATTCAATGTATCTTTCTGTTTTCCTGAGACTTCCTCTTTGGCCCATGGATTATTTAGAAGTATGTTGTTTAGTTTGCAAGTGTTTGGAGATTTTCCTGTTAAATTTCTGTTGTTGATTTTCAGTTCGATACCATTGTGGCTAGAGAATGAATGCACTTTGTATATTTCAATTTTTAAAAATTTATTGGTGTTCATTTTATTACACAGGATACACTAGTCTGTCTTGGTATATGTTCCATAGGCATTTGAAAAGAATATATATGCCCATAGTTTTGCTTACTGTATTCTTTCCTTTTCCTGATGCTCTAAGGCTCCAATTTTGTTTTTGCTTTTGTTTTCTTTTATAATTAGAGAACTTCCTTTACCCTTTCTTAGCTGGTGACAGAGTCTCTTAGTTTTCCTTCATCTGTGAAGGTCTTGATTTCCCTCATTCCTGAAGGGTATTTTCTCTGCGTATAGGATTCTGGGTTGGCAGCTCTTTTCTTTCAGCACTTGAACAGTATTGTGCCATTTCCTTCTGGCTGCCATGGTTTCTGATGAGAAATCTGTTATACAAATGGTTTTCCCATGTAAGTAAAGTGTCATTTTTTCTCTTGCTGCTGTCAAGATTTTTTTTTTTTAGAAGTTTAATTATAATGTGTCTTGGTTTGGATTTCTTTGGGTTTGTCCTGTTTGGAGTTCACTCAGCTTCTATATAAATCTTTAGGTTTATGTCACTGACCAGATGTGGGAAGTTTTCAGCCATTATATCTTAGAATATTTTTTCAGCGCCACCCTCTTTCTCCTCTTTATGGTACTTGGATGGCATCTCACCACAGCTCAGCAAGGATGGAGATCGAGGCTTCCACCTGGACTTAGTGAGGCCACAGCGTCTCTGTGGGGTTTGGCTGGAATGAGACAGTTATAGTCTGATGGTTTTCTGTCTTGCTAGGCTGCCTGGTTTCCTGGTCCTTTGGCTGAAGACAGCAGACTTTTGTCAGGGTTTTTGTTTTGTTTTGTTTTTTGGTCTATTGTTATTTCTGGGTTGCTGGCTTTTTCAGCTCCAAGGTTAGGGTATATGAGGCAAAAAACAAACGAACACCCAAGTAACTCAACTATCATCTCATTCTTTGGTTCCTGAGGTCCCTAGCTGGTGATGTGCCTTCCTCTCTTTATCAGAGTCTGCTTACATTTTTTTTATATATAATGTCCGTTTTTAAAAAATTAAATAGTGTTTTTAATTGGTGTGTTATTTTTGTAAATTAAGATATAATTTACATACCAGAAAATGCACCCCCTGAGAGTATACGATGCAGAGGTTTTTAGTACATTCACAAGGTGGTGAAAACATCACCACTATCTAATTGCAGGACATTTTTGTCACCCCGTAAAGAAACCCCATACCCAGTAGCAATCACTTCCCATTCCTTCTTTTTTCTAGTCCCCGGTAAACACTAATCTACTCTCAGTATCTGTAAGTTTGCCTGTTCCGAACACTTCCTCTAAATGGAATCATGCAATATGTGGTCTTTTGTGCCTGGTTTCTTTCACTTAGCGTAATGTTTCCAAGGTCTGTCATTGTAGCATGTGTCAGTACTTCATCCCTTTTTATTGCCAAATAATATTCTTTTGTGTAGCTATTCCCCATTTTGTTTATCCACTCATCAGTTGATGGACAGTTGGTTTATTTACCCTTTTTGGCCACAAGGCCGCTATAAACATCAGTGTACATGTTTTTGTGTGAACATATGCTTTCAGTTCTCTTGGTTATGTACCTAGTAGTTGAACTGTTAGTCACATGTTAGCTCTGTGTTTAATTTTTGTAGGAACTGCCAGACTGTTTTCCAAAGCAGCTGCACCACTGTACCTTCCCACCAGCAACGTAGGAGGGCTCTATTTTCTCCACATCCTCAATGATGCTTTTTATTGTCCATCATTTTGATTATAGTCATCACTGTGTGTGTGAAGTGGTATCTCATTGTGGTTTTGATTTGCATTTCCCTAATGACTAATGATGTTGAGCACCTTTTTATATGCTTATTGGCATTTGTATATCTCCTATGGAGAAATGGCTGTTCAAACCTTTGGCCCGTTTCTTTTT